TGAAATCAACATTTTTCACAAGTCTAGCGACGCAACATGAAAGGGTAGATAAATTGGATTGTTCATAAGTTTATTGTATATCATGTGACGCCTGCCAACAGAAATATATTGGCAAAACAGGGAGAAAAATTATAACACGAATCAAGGAGCATCAGAAGCTCTGCAGAAAATGGATACCGAAAGATCAGAACTAGCGGAACAGAACGCACAGACCTGACACGAGATCAATTGGAAGGCAACAGAAAGAAAGGCCCCATACGGTGATAACACAAGGAGGCGGAAGATAAAGTAAGGCCATTGACATCATTGGGGAGAAAAATCTAAAGAACATGAGATTTGAGAAAGATAGAGTTAGCGTTAACTTTGCCTACTGCCTAAGCAAACTCGGGGAAAACAAGAATAGAGCAAGACTAGCAAGAAAGAGCCGCCTGGATCAAGGATCTACCGGTATTGGAGGAAGAGGGATCGCGTTGAAGAAACTGGAGGGCAGGGGTTTTCGGCAATCAAGCGAAGACGTTGTCAGTGGGTGATGTCCGTTTCGAATAAATCAGTACAACTTTGGGGGCCTGGCAGTCAGGGAGCTGGGCAGATGGATAAGCAAACAGTCACGGAAATTCGGCGTTATGGCCAAAATGTACCAGAAATCCACTTGAGATGCCGCATGCGACCAGAGATAGGTATTCTCAGTTTTCTCAGATAACATGGGTTCAATCAAGGAGAGGACCAGTGAAGGGAAAACCTGATATCTGCAAGCATGGAAATCACAGCCTTGGAACTCTGCTCGGTGAGGCGGCAGTGTACGTGCTTCTAGGGCCTTGAGAAATAGCGCCTGGAGTGAAATACACACAGGGACTGGACATAGAAAGATAAGGAACGAATCTAAGGGACCATAAGGGGATCCGAATTGTAGGCCCGAGTCGGATTAGCCGATCGAAAGAGAGGGTGTCGGGTGGATAACATATGTGATGAGGCCACTTTAGATTTGCCACAAAAGGGGTACACATTTGGACGAGTGGAATGTAAACAACTGAGAAGTTGTGATAGGGCGGCAGTGGGATAAGAGGGTAAAGAGTAGATAGATAGGCCAGGACAGAAAGAGGAGTGGTAGTGTAACCGTTTGTCGAGGTATTGATTTCACTTGTCTCTGACGCGTTCGTAACCTGGTGAGGAGAATGGCATCACTCACTGATGTTGCCGACTTCGATGCAGGCGAATCATCTGAGAATGTACCAAGTCCACTGTCGGATGTTGGGAATCATGACAACGACTATGGCAAACGACTTCGGACTAGGTGCATTATACATAGTCCCCCTGACAACAAGACCAAGTTGCGACAACGAGGTCAACCCACTTCTTAACTTTTAAGCTTTTCGTCTTTAAGTAGATCAAGTTGGTAGGTTTGAAGCCAGCCACTTCCATTGTCTTGGTATTTTGGTGAATTATCGTTAAGCGTGGTGTTCTTCTCTGACGATGGCCGTCACATGACGGGTGTAGGTTTTTTCGAGGTCACAGGACGGTGCGCCGAGGACCTATTCGCATTAAGCTATAGTCTCAGCTCCAAGACAACCTCCCCTTTTTAGATGCCATTAGAAAGAATTTTGACTTTCATTTAGCCCCCCTCCCCCTTTTTCACCCCGCTTGTAAATTGGTCGCTGCTACACCCCAATATCATTGTCTGGCTGTCTGACCCTTCAATTTCTTCCCCGTCTACATCATATTAGAAGATTTAGAGCAAGTAATGCTCATGTCTAGGCACCTTCCTTTTCTTAGGCTTCAGGTAAAAAAGCTTTTTTTTGAACCAAGCATCCTCTTTTTTCATCTCCCCTTGGAAGAGGATGTCCTTTTTCTGGTGTTCTCTCAATATGAGGCCAATCTTTTCGTTACACTCCAGTTAATTGCGTTGCCGGTAAGGGAAATGCGCTCAGCTATCTCCGATCTTCCCTCATTTATTTTTCTGCATAGTCGCTGGCACTCTTTGCTCCTTGTGCTGATTGTCCTTCCAGTGTCTCCAATATACTTGTACTTACCGTCCTTGCTGTTTACGATGTAAACCCCGGAGCATTCATATTTGTTGACTTCTTCATGTGAGAGAGAAAGAGTCAGCTAAAAGTTAAGAGAAGTGACTATGATTAGAACCAAGAAAAGAAAAACTAGTTGTGTCACCTTTTGTAGGCGGCTCAACACCCTTTCTATCCTTAAGTCTATTCATTAGTATTCACTATTCAAAAAGCTATTCTTTATTATTCTAATATTATTTTCAATCAAGCCTAGGGGATAGTTATTCTCAAGAAATATTATTTTAAGCCGATTTAGTTCATTGACACCATGGTCTAAATCGGCTAGTCTTAAGCTCCGAATAATCATAGATTTAACACTCCCACCTTTGTTTTGTAAATATGATTGGAGAAAAAGTTAAGTATAAAGCCAGCATGTGTTGGCTTCCTATAGACATCCGTGCTTAACTTCTCACCTGCTCTGATCAATAAGACATCTAAAAAGGGTAAATTATTGTTCATCTTCATCTCTATTTTCAATTTAACATTGGTGTCAATCTGGTTAATTAAAAACAAGAAATTATCTTAACTACCCTTGCCATGCTGTCATATGGCAAAGTAGTCATCCCTATATCTCACTAACAGTTAGGGTGTCAATCTTACCTCTTCCATGAAGTGTTCCTCCATTCTTGACATGTCATTATTAGCTAAAATGGAAGCCAAGCAAGATCTCATTGCTAGGCCTTGCACCTGTTTATAAACATTATCATTAAAGGTAAAGTATCTGCTGCTCATGGATAGAGTAGGAAGCCTTAAGATTAAGCCTTTGCTTAGATTTCCCTCCCCAATAATTTCTGGGTGTTCATCTAGGCTGAGTGTAATTGCTTCAATAACTTTCTGAACTGGGATGTTATTATACAGTTTAAACACATCAATACTAACCAAAAGATCCTCCTCTTTAATACTCTGTTGATCTATTAATCTAGCAAATTCATATGAATTCTTC